TTTGTGCACGAAGGAGATGAATCTGTGTAGAGTAGATGGTTGCGTCGATGAGCTGCCTTGATGGAAGAAACGGAAGTCCACTCCCTGAGGTTGGTGTGCAACGAGCATGGACGAAATAGAAGTCCGGTTACATTTTTGTCGAAAGAAATTTCACTCATTTTTTTGTCTAATAAAAGATGGGAAGTCACATTTGTGCCATTCTTTCAATTTTTTACAAAAGTGGAAATTAGAAGAATTAATTAGAACGTTTCAAAACGAAAAGTTGGAAGAAATGACCGGGACAGAGGGAGTAGATATTTAGAAACAAAGTAATTTTTTTGTTTACTTTGTTAATAAAGATATTTCAAATACAACAATTCAATTGTTTCTACTAAAATTTCATTAATTTCAATCAATTTCAATTTTTTCAAACGGATTGTTTAACGAGAATGTAAATTGCAAATATAATTCAATTTAGGGAAAATATCTAGTACTCAACCAACCACAAAGGGAATGCATAATTACCAAATGGTACACAGGCTCACACAGTGTATTTTGTATAGTTATTAGGATGTTTTTACTTGGACTGTAATCCAAATAGACCAGACCAATCAGACCAGACTTGGATAGTTATAAAAATACAAAGAAATCAGACCAAACCAATTTAGACAAAAAACAAATTACAATTCAAGTAAAAACATCATTAGTGCTAATTTGAAGTTTTTTTCACATTTGGAGCTCAATTAGTGCTTATATGTGTCCATTTACTAGTTTTATGAGCCAATTTTTTCATTAAATGCATAATTTTTGTATACGTGAACGAAGTTACTAATAATCAAAACCAGGATTCAAACGCATACAGAAAAATGATAATAATATAAAATAACATAAACGAGGCCTCAGGGTGAGAAGGTTTATGCATCAAAAGACAAAGAAAGGATAATACATCCCTTCCTTTCTTATCAGATGGTACGGACAAATCTTTTACGCATCATCGGCCACAACCCTGATCACTATCTTCTAAACCAAACAACCCGACTTGATAACAAAAGAAAATAACATAAAGGATGCCTCAGTGTGAGAAGGTTTATGCATCAAAAGACGAAGAAAGGATAACACATCCCTTCACACTTATCAGATGGTACGGACAAATCTTCTTTTACGCATCATCGGCCACAACCCTAATTCACAATCTTCTAAACCAAACAACCCAACTTGATAACAAAAGAAAATAACTTAAAGGAGGCCTCAGGGTGAGAAGATTTATGCATCAAAAGAAGAAGAAAGGATAACACTTCCCTTCACACTTATCAGATGGTACGGACAAATCTTCTTTGACGCATCATCAGCCAGAACCCTAATCACTAACTTCTAAACCAGAGAGAACTTGATAACAAAAGAAAATCACATCAAGGAAGCCTCAGGGTGAGAAGGTTTATGCATCAAAAGACGAAGAAAGGATAACACATCCCTTCGCACTTATCAGATGGTACGGACAAATCTTTTACGCATCATTGGCCACAACCCTGATCACTATCTTCTAAACCAAACAACCCGACTTGATAACAAAAGAAAATCACATAAAGGAGGCCTCAGGGTGAGAAGGTTTATGCATCAAAAGACGAAGAAAGGATAACACATCACTTCGCACTTATCAGATGGTACGGACAAATCTTCTTTTACGCATCATCGGCCACAACCCTAATTCACAATCTTCTAAACCAAACAACCCAACTTGATAACAAAAGAAAATAACATAAAGGAGGCCTCAGGGTGAGAAGATTTATGCATCAAAAGACGAAGAAAGGATAACACTTCCCTTCACACTTATCAGATGGTACGGACAAATCTTCTTTGACGCATCATCAGCCAGAACCCTAATCACTAACTTCTAAACCAGAGAGAACTTGATAACAAAAGAAAATCACATCAAGGAAGCCTCAGGGTGAGAAGGTTTATGCATCAAAAGACGAAGAAAGGATAACACATCCCTTCGCACTTATCAGATGGTACGGACAAATCTTTTACGCATCATTGGCCACAACCCTGATCACTATCTTCTAAACCAAACAACCCGACTTCCTATTACAGTTTTAATTAATAAATCAAAACTATGTAAAAGAGCCTACTTTAAAGTAGGTTGTTTGTTCAGAGATAATGATCTTGCATCTGATAAAAACTAAAAAAGGCTCATATCAAGTGTAAATTATAAAGACAAATCAACATGAGGAAATTCCATTCTAATGGAAAAAGAAAGATATGAGAATGCAAATATGAACATACTAGCCGCCAAAGACCTTCTCCAGTATTGAGGAAGGTGGCAGCTTTGTCAAATATGCATTTATGTCATGATTCTTTCAACAATACATGAATGAAATTTCCACACTCAATCCTCTCTCTTTCTAATCACAGCCCTTTCTAGCCTTCAATGCCGAATCATAGATCACAAGGCACACCAAGCATGAAAAAATTGAATATCACAACTTCCTAAACATACTTGAGATAAAAAAAAGTAATAGAATTGACGCAAAGCAGTAAAGGACAAGCATTTTGAAAAGACTTATATTTAATGCCAGTGTTTTTATTTTATTGAGAGTCAGAAATCTCATGTGGAAAGTGCCGCTCATTGCATCAGAAGTGATGCTGCATTTGCACATTATATGCATAGAGATGTCATCATACTTTCAACTTTGACTAAAGAATGTACCAAAATTACATTAAAACAAAACAAACATTGAAGTTACTCCCCGCAGTAACCCCTCAGATAGATACCCCCGGGACACTATCCATCAACATTGTATATGACAAAGTCTATAATTACGTGATACATTCTTTAATAGTAGTGATTACGGACATGAGGTTTCAAACACACACAAATGAGGGAGAGTGATCATGTAAATATTCGTGGCGGGACTATAGTAAGATATATTTTGATTTTGGTTAAAACTTAAAAATGAATCTAATGATTTCAAATTCTGTATTTATTAAAATCAAGCATTACTTTTATGAGACATCAAAAAACCAAAAAAGGCTCATATCAAGTGTAAATTATAAAGACAAATCAACATGAGGAAATTCCATTATAATGGAAAAGAAAGATATGAGAATGCAAATTTGAACTTACTAGCCGCCAATGACCTTTTCCAGTATTGAGGAAGGTGGCAGCTTTGTCAAATCTGCATTTATGTCATGATTCTTTTCACAATACATGAATGAAATTTCCACACTCAATCCTCTCTCTTTCTAACCACATCCCTTACTAGCCTTCAATGCCGATCATATCGTACATCACACGGCACACCAAGCATGAAAAAAATGAATATCACAACTTCCTAAACATACTTAAGATCAAAAAAGTAATAGAATTGACCCAAAGCAGTAAAGCACAAGCATTTTGAAAAGACTTATATTTAATGCCAGTGTTTGTACTTTATTGAGAGTCAGAAATCTCATGTGGAAAGTGCCGCTCATTGCATCAGAAGTGATGCTGCATTTGCACATTATATGCATAGAGATGTCATCATACTTTCAACATTGACTAAAGATTGTCATACTCAATCCTCTCTATTTCTAACCACATCTCTTACAAGCCTTCAATGCCGATCATATCGTACATCACAAGGCACACCAAGCATGACAAAATTGAATATCACAACTTCCCAAACATAGTTAAGATCAAAAAAGTAATAGAATTGACCCAAAGCAGTAAAGCACAAGCATTTTGAAAAGACTCATATTTAATGCCAGTGTTTTTACTGTATTGAGAGTCAGAAATCTCATGTGGAAAGTGCCGCTCATTGCATCAGAAGTGATGCTGCATTTGCACATTATATGCATAGAGATGTCATCATACTTTCAACATTGACTAAAGAGTGTAGTACTCAATCCTCTCTCTTTCTAACCACATCCCTTACCAGCCTTCAATGCCGATCATATCGTACATCACAAGGCACACCAAGCATGAAAAAAATGACTATCACAACTTCCTAAACATACTTAAGATCAAAAAAGTAATAGAATTGACGCAAAGCAGTAAAGCACAAGCATTTTGAAAAGACTCATATTTAATGCCAGTGTTTTTACTTTCTTGAGAGTCAGAAATCTCATGTGGAAAGTGCCGCTCATTGCATCAGAAGTGATGCTGCATATGCATAGAGATGTCATCATACTTTCAACATTGACTAAAGAGTGTCGTACTCGATCCTCTCTCTTTCTAACCACATCCCTTACCAGCCTTAAATGCCGATCATATCGTACATCACAAGGCACACCAAGCATGAAAAAATTGAATATCACAACTTCCTAAACATACTTAAGATAAAAAAAGTATTAGAATTGACACAAAGCAGTAAAGCACAAGCATTTTGAAAAGAATTATATTTAATGCCAGTGTTTTTACTTTATTGAGAGTCAGAAATCTCATGTGGAAAGTGCCGCTCATTGCATCAGAAGTGATGCTGCATTTGCATAGAGATGTCATCATACTCTCAACATTGACTAAAGAATGTACCAAACAATACATCAAAACAAAACAAACATATGAATACAAAAGCCATTAAGCTTCCCTAGGAAACAGATAATGAGTGTATTTATAGTAGAATTTGCAGAGTCTAGGCAGCAAATTGGTGGTGATTAAATTGGGTAGATATAACACACTTTAACTAAATCTAGATGAACACATGTCTTTATTTCAGAATATTTACTTGAGGAAATTGATACACACCAATATCTCATTCACAGCTATTTATAAAATCAATTATCACAGGATATTAAACTTATGAATTCAATTTAATTCTAAATATTTTATATAAAAGTGTTGACATTTATCAAGACTATTTAAAATAGTCTGGATCAAATAGAATGCTATAGCATGAAAAGTAGAAACCATATAAACCAAAGAGTCCGTTTTAGAATACATTACTCTCAACAATTACAAGAATCCATGAAAATGACTGAGATTATGTTCATATAAACAATTAACATGTGATGAGTTTAAAGATATCATTAGTGGGCCGTACATCTTGTTAGAAAGTACTCAAATATATTATTCTCAAATTGGAATAACAATAATTAAATATACCTAAATTCAATAAATGCATAACCATATTACCACTTTGAGCATTGTGCGTGACATGAAATGCAATAAATGAAAAATTACTCTCAGGACCAATGCCAAACTGTAAATAAATCCCAGATGCTTAAATTAGGCAACAAATTTGCCTTGAAACAAAACTTTGAGGTAGGAAAACATTCAAGTCTAAAAATTAAACTAGAGATCTGTGAAGAAACAGCCTTGGCTTAAGAAATCAAGAAAATCAATAGAGTTATAGCATATATGAAAACCTCACAAATTAATCAACTGTTTGCATGATATCCGCAGTGCTGAACTTGGTAACCTTCTCCTTATCAGCGGCGGCGCGGCCCTTAGCCTTGCGTTCGATGAGTGACTTGCGGTCCTTGTCGAGGTGGAGCTTTGTTATCACAACATTGGAGGGGTGGATGCCGACGTTGACGGTGGATCCGTTGACCTTTTCACGGGTTATCCGTTCAATATGGATCACCCACTTCTTGCGATAAACCTGAACAACCTTACCCTCTCGGCCCTTGTAGGTCCCACGCATCACGGTGACTTCGTCGTCCTTCCTCACCGGCAACGATCTGACGTTGTACTTGGATCGCATATCGGCCGACAATGTCGAGCTCATGATCACACGGCGGACGCTGGATGGGGCCGTGAAGTGAGCCTTGCGGCTCTTGCGTCGGGAGGATGAGACTCTAGGGTTGTACTTCATTTTCGCAGCTTCTAGTCAAGCCGGCGGCTACTGTGGAGCTTTGGGGATTTTGTGTTAAGAGATGGTAAGGGTGGGTTTAAAAAGTCTAGGGCGGCCTGAATCATATCATATGTAGAACTAGTGGGCCTTTCCAATTGCAAACGTAGGGCCAGCTGGCCCATGTCTACCAAGGAGTCAAGCCCATGTATATCACCCAGACTTGTGCGGGTGCATAGTCTGAGATATTTTGTAGAACTATTCTTACACATGCCAATAATGCGATGCACGGCCGAAATAAAGAACCGTGAATTAATTAAAGCAAAAATGTTAAAGTGCAAAATGATCCATCAAAACATTTACAATGATCATTTTATTGACAACAAACAAAATCATGTTATTCAACGTAAGATCACATGAAAAAATTAAACATTTTGAAGCACGCCCTTATAAACATTTATTGTCTGATTCGAGCTTTGGTCGTTATCATCTAAAATTAAAATTTACAATCTTTTTGGGTTGGTAACTCGGGAAATGTGACACATATGGTTTTTCAATAATAAACCAACATGTGAAAGAGATTGTCTTTATTGTTATTAATTAATGCATAACAACCATGATTGAAAACTGTCTTCGTTAACGAAAATCTTGGAATTAGCACTTGTTGACTCATACTTCTTTCCGTGAGAACTCTTGCTTCTAAACTATGATCACCAAGCATTGTTATTCCCCTCTGATGCACGGCCGATATATTTATTCCAAGTATTAGAGATGAAAGAGTAATATTAAATGTAAAAATGAAGTAAAAGAAAAATAAAATCTATAATTAACACAAATTGGGAAGTTTAGAAACACTTCTTTGTACTCCACGTTTATAGTCTCATTATTTGTGTTACTTTCCTAATATTTCATTTGTGCGTTGCACGGCCAAAATAAATAAACTTGTAATAAGTAAATCAATAATGCCAAAAGTGATACATAAAAAAATTACAATGATTACTTAATGGACAAATACGAAAATCATGTTATGCAACACAAGATAAGAGCATCTCCAATGCTACATTGTGCACGGTGCACATGTGGCATGACAGATAGCCACATAAATATTGGTAAATAAATTCTTTATCTCCTTATTTGAATGCTTTTATGAAGTTTTGGTAAGTTTTTCTCCACAATGTCAAAGAGACCGTCTAGATGTTGACATTGCAGTTGACATTGCAAGGGAAAACTTACCAAAATTGTATAAAATCTTTCAAATAAGGAGAGAGATAATTTATTTGCTAATATTTATGTGGTTATCTTTCATGTCTCATTTGCATCGTGCACACTATAGCATTCGAGATGCTCTGACATGCAAAAAGTTAAACATTCTTAAGCACTTCCTTATTCATAATTGAAATTTATCATTCAATTGAAATCCTTTGTTGTCTCATTTGAGCTTTGATATTTATCATTCATAATTGAAATTTTCAATCATTTTGAATTACTCCGAATGGGTCCACAATTGAGCTGGCATCAGGGGACTCAAATTGACGTATATTACCAATTCACCTCTGCTTAAAATGCCCCCTGCCCCCTAAAATTTTCTGCAAACATAGACCATAGTAAACAAAGAGGTGCAATGAAAGTAGGTCAACAGAAATGCTAGAATCTATTTTTACAGACCTGAGAATAGATTACTAATTTTTTATTATGGATCAAAATAAGAGTGAATAAAAAAATGTTACCTAACCTATTAAAAGTAAAAAATGGGCCTTACCCTCTAACCCTAAACAAGTCTATAAACTTGTGCTTGATTCTTATCTATAAGCCCATTTAATATCTCATACAACACACATATCACATTTGTCGGTCTGTTGGTGCACTTCTGAACATTATTCGTTCAATTTTCTATGACTTTCGTTTCGGTCAGTCAGCATAACATACACACCTAAGCTTACCATTTCCGATGATTTTATTTGACATGTGGCTTACCTTCTCTTCAATCACCACCAAATCTATATGAGTTACCTCCAATTCGAGTACTTGACTTCTGTCAGGGGTATTACTCACATGCCTACGGGCATTGAGGGCACATGCAGGGGCGGATCTGGCTCTGGGCCAGGGAGGGCCTAGGCCCCACCTCAAAAAAATAAATTTACTAGTATATATATGTATTATACTATATGTAGTGTTTTTAAATAATGGTATAGGTACAAAGAAAGTCAAAATGAACGTATTTTCCGTGTTAGCTAGATGAAAGTGTACTGCCGTGCTGACCTGCATGTGCTTTGTTCGAATCCCAGGTGCAACACATCTTTTTAATTTGGAATTGTGTAAACATTTCAGTTTTTTTTTACTTCTAAAAACTATGGTCTCACACTAGAAGAATATAAGGATTCTTCTTTCAAACATACGTAGTATAAATTTAAACTTGGTCTCCTAAGTTTAATTAATACGGAGTACAAGTTTAACACCAATCTCAAACGGTGAATGAGCTAGATGCTAATATTGTGAACGTTCTTGGGCTTTTGAGTATTAGTCTGAACAATTAATTTGTTCAATTCATTGGGCTTGTTAGGTGAGTATTAGTTTAATACGTATGCATTTGAGGCGTTTTTGTATTCAGCAAAAATTCTTATTCCTGTTATATTTATTTTTGTCTTTGACATTTATGTTGCAAAAGATTTTATTTTATATTTGAAAATAAATTTTGTTAAATAACATACTCCTTCCATCCCTCATAACTTTGCTAACTTTCCTTTTTTTATTGTCCCAAAACCTTTGCCACTTTCCATTTTAATCAATCAATTTGTGCTTCCTATTATTTCTCTCATTTGTATAAATCTCTACCACACAGTTTTTACTTTATTATTCTGCGTGCCGGTCAAACTTGGCAAACATTTAAGGGATGGAGGGAGTACTATTTTACTACATTTTGACATTTTTTGCAATATACGTTGTTTAATCAAATTTTGGCCCCACCTGATTGACAATGCTAGATCCGCCCCTGGGCACATGTGGAGGTATCCACGGATGGGGCTTTATTTGTCAGGGCCATGACGAGGAACTACAGAAAGTCCGAGAATGGATGCTTGTGAGGCCCGTTGAGGGTTTTTTAGAGAGAAGATGTACTCTTGCTATTCAAAGAATGAGAGTGTGTGCCATCAGATGAGAAGCTTCATAAATCTATCTTTGAGGAGGCTCACTCATCTGCTTATGTCATGCACCCGGGTGGCACAAAGATGTATCAGGACTTGAAGGAGAGTTATTGGTGGGTTGGGAATGAAGAAAGAAATTGTAGAATACGTGAACTATTGCCTTACCTGTCAGCAAATTAAGGTAGAACATCAGCACCCTGCAGGATTGTTACATCCACCTACCATTTCAGAATGGAAGTGGGAGCATATTAGTATGGACTTCGTGGTAGGATTGACACAGAGGTTTAGAAACTATGGTGCGGTATGAGTGGTGGTTGGTAGGTTGACCAAGAGTTCTCATTTCTTACCTATCAACACTACCTATATGCTAGATCAGTTGACCAAGTTATACACATATGAGATCGTGAGACTGAATGAGGTTCCTGTAAGTATAGTATCAGATAGAGACATACGGTTCACATCATGGTTTTGCCCTAAGTTCTATGAACCCATGGGGACAAAGTTGAGGTTTAGCACAACATTTCATTCTCAAACAAATGGGCAATTTGAACAGGTGATTCAGATTTTGGAGGACATGTTGAGAGCCTGTGTCTTAGAGTTCCAAGGGACCTGGGGACTGGGATAATCAATTAGCTTTAGTGGAATTCACGTATAACAATAGTTATCGGGTGAGTATAGGCGTCCCTCCTTACAAGGCATTGTATGGGAGGAAATGTTGAACACCTTTGTGTTAGGATGAGGTTGGCGAGGTCAAACTTGAGGGCACCGAGCTAGTTGAGATCACCAAGGAAAATGTGAGGGTTATTCGGGATAGACTCAAGGCTGATAAGATCGGTAGAAGTGCTATGCAAATAAACATCGGAGGACATCGGAGTTTGAGATCAGTGATCATGAGGTATTTCTGAGAGTGTCACCTTGGAAATGGATCATTAGATTCCTCAGTCAGGGTAAGCTCAATCCATGTTATATCAGTCCATTCAAAATCCTTAAAATGATTGGGGTCGTAACATACCGACTTCGATTGACTCCGGAGTTAGAAAATATTCACAATGTGTTTCATGTATCTATGCTCAAGAAATACGTACGGTATCCATTACATATTCTTGAGAAACCGCTAGTGGAAATACAGGAAGATCTACATTATGTGGTATAACTGGTGAAGATCATAGACTGGCAGGTAAAGAAACTAAGAAGCAAAGAGGTACCAATGGTAAAAGTACTTTGGAAAAGTGACCGTGTTGAGGAGCAAACGTGTGAAGTGGAGACCCTGAACAGGGAGCAATATCCATTTCTGTTTGACTAGACACGTGGATTTCGAGGACGAAATCTCAAATAAGGGGGGTCAACTTGTAACACCATCCCAGAGTATATTTACTTTTATCAAGTTATATATTGAACCTTGAGAAATGAGTAATGAATTTTACGTGGTTGTAAATTTTTGTCATTTCTTTTTACGTGAATAGTAGTAATGCACGTGGGGCCACCAGGAGCGAGGACCACCTAATATTTCTGTGACCACATATTATATTCATCCAGGTCTATATAATATTTATATGATGGTGTATATCCATGTTGGGCCATAGAAACAATGTAAAGTTGGCTGATTGGGCAAACAAGGCCCATATACCGGTATCGGCATACTGCCACATAAAAGCCCGTAATAAATTCCGAGGACCACTAAATTAAGGTTGGGGAATATATATTCATTTTAAAAACACATAATAGTTGGGAGAATGATATATATTTTATTTGGCCTGATAAAATGAAATTTAATTAAAACAATCAAGAAAATACAAATTTCAGGACCAAGTGTGCACACCAGGACATAAAGGGATGACCTCCCACATGAGTGGGGACCACCCCACGAATTTAGTCTTGCAAATAGGCAAGGGGATCCATATCGGGAGCTTGGAAATGGGGATGAATTGATCGGGAGACAAATCAATAAAAGAAATGGGACCTCTCCCAT